TGCAGCTGGCCTCGGGGCCTACGCAAATATGCGTTTCCCCCAGTGAGCCTTCTCGCACAGACACTGTGCAAGGTCAGGGAGGACTAGGAGCAGGTCCTCTTGGTAGCGCCATATTGGCCCAATCGGACTTGGTTCCCCGAGCTGATGCTCCTCGCGACAGCCCCTCCTTGGCGAATTCCTCTGAGGAGGGATCTCCTTTCTCAGAGAGGGGGCACCCTCTGGCACCCGCGTCCAGACTTGTGGAATCTCCACTTATGGTCCCTGGACGGGACGCGGAGGTTCTAGGTGGGCTACCTCCAGCGGTAGTGAACACCATCGCTTCAGCTAAGCCCCGTCTACTAGACACGCTTACAGGCTGAAGTGGAACCTGTTCGTCGGTTGGTGCTCTTCCCGCCGGGAAGACCCCCGTAGATGCCCGATCGCAGTCGTGCTTTCTTTCCTGCAGGATGGGTTGGAGCGAAGGCTGTCTCCCTCCACCCTGTGGGGAAGCACGACTTGGTCATCAGGTTTCTCAGAGGGGCAAGGAGGTTAAATCCTCCACGCCTCTCACCTTTTACCCTCTTGGGATCTCTCCTTGGTCCTGATGGCCCTGAAGGAGGAGCCCTTCGAGCCTCTGCAGTCAGTAGAGCTTAAGTTTCTGTCATTGAAGACAGCGCTCCTCACCGCATTGGCCTCGGTCAAGAGGGTAGGGGACCTGCAGGCATTCTCGGTCGACAATTCGTGCCTAGAATTCGGGACGGGTAACTCTCACGTTGTCCTGAGACCCCGGCCCGGATATGTGCCCAAAGTTCCCACCACACCTTTCAGGGATCAGGTGGTGAACTTGCAAGCGCTGCCCCGGGAGGAGGCAGACCCAGCCATCACTCTGCTCTGTCCCGTTCGTGCTCTGCGCATTTACGTGGACCGTACGCGGAGCTTCAGGACCTCAGACCAGCTCTTTGTCTGCTTTGGAGGTCAGCAGAAGGGAAAGGCTGTCTCCAAACAAAGACTTGCCCACTGGTTAGTGGAGGCTATAGTCTTGGCATACCAGGCCCGACGTTTACCATGCCCCCTCGGAGTGAGAGCTCACTCTACAAGAGCAGTGGCATCTTCTTGGGCATTGGCGCGGGGCGCCTCGATAGCAGATATCTGTAGAGCTGCCGGCTGGGCGATGCCTAACACGTTTGTGAGATTCTATAGTCTCCGTGTACAGCCCGTGTCCTCTCGTGTACTCGCCTCAGGTAGGCAGTAACACCGGACCTGCTCGGTGTCAATCACGCTTGCTGCGCCATTCCCTCTATGGACCGATACATGCGCTTTTTTGCTCCTCAATCAGTTCCCCATGGCGAACCCTAGTGGAGTTCCTCCTGCACCCTCAGCGGTCAGGCGTGGCGGAGCGCCAGACGCCAGGCTCAGCACTCGTGTGCATGCCCAAGGTCAGCCCTTGATACCCGCGCTGCGGGGCGGGGTGCGCGTGGCAAAACACGCACGCCAACTGTCATTGGCTTGTTTAGTTTACACTCGAAGGTGATTGGGCTCTCGGGCGAGATCCCAATTCGTCAGTCACTGACGTAATGTCTCCGTTCCCTCCTTCAGGGAACGAGGGTTACACAAGTAACCTAGACGTTCATAATTTTCATACAAGCTACTTGGTAACAGTATACACTCTGTAAAATATCCTAGATAGGGTAGTTTATACTGGAGAGGAGGAGTGTTTAAATCATATAAAAACCATGGGTGTACCTCAGGGTTCGATGCTTGGCCCTCTCCTCTTAACAATACACACCACATCGCAAGGACCAATTCAGGCAGGTTTTTTTCTAGCAGTGCTACACCAATAGCAAACGGCTCTAGTTTGAATGGCATTTCCATCTCCAACTTTGTGAAGACAACATCACGACTGCATCAACAAGAAGTGAGCTAGGAACTTTGGGGTAATATTTCATAATCACGGTATAAAACAGATTTGAGCTTAACAAAGTCTGGAACCTTATTATTAAAATGTCCTATTATTTCACTGTTGTTTAACTGTGTTACATCCGCATCCCTGTTTTAGCTTTTACTTTTATTTTACTTATATATATTGCACAACTTATGTTTCTGTCTCCTTAGGACGCATCACTTACATTGTGATATTCTTCATTTGTAAGTCATTTTGGATAAAAGTATCTGCCAAGTTAACAAAGGTAAACACTGTGGCTTCTCTGAATGCAAATACAACTGTTATTGTGGTGGTTGTGTGAGGTGGGATTTGTTTGTATTAATCCGTTTTTAAATTCATTGTGACACTGTAATGTGCCTCATATCTAACTCTAATGCTAACAGAGCCACTGGCAAAGACGTTTATCCCCATGAGAGAGAGAGAGCAGTCTAAACTTGGGTAAAAATAGCTGTGGTGTGAACGCAAGGATTCCTCTTTAATTAACATGTGATTTGTAATTGCAGAAACTTCACACCATGACTTACAAAGAGCAGCATAATAACAAAGTCAGACAAATCTTGCCCTAGAGCACCCATGAGACATTTTAGATGTTCTGTATTTGGATGACTGTCCAACGAAAGAAGAATGAATAAGGTTATTATACTATAAAGCGGTACTTTCAGCATATATTCTTCCCTTATGAAAAATAACATGGTTTTTATTATAGTAAAAGTGTTGTAACCATGTTTTTTTGTTTTTTTTCGCATTTTGATTACCATTTATATAACTACAGTTTTACTACAAATACATGGGTAAACTATGGTTAATGGAGCAAAATCATGGTTAATTTGTGGTCACCATGTTTTAACTATAGTAACCATGTTTTGTTTTTTTGTTTTATTTGACAAATAAATAAATAAATAAAAATAACAACTACTACTAATAAGAACAATAAGAATAATTCCCCATAAATGCCTTTTTAGACAACTGAGTCACAATTATGCTTCAGGTCAAACTCAAGATGTGCCTTCATGTGGTACTTTTTAAGTAATGACTTTAAATCCATGCTCCTATAAAGGCCAGTGTTAACCAGCGCTCAGGTTAGTTATGGTGAGCTTTGGTTAACTAATGCTTTAACTAATGGACCCTTCAGTGAATGAAATCTGCTGCTCTTTCACAGTCATCATTGGTCTCTCTCTGTATATTTCTTTTGTGCCTGGAGTTACTTTATGGGAGATTACCTTTTCTAAACAGCGTGTTAGGTGTTTGGTGTAGCTTTCACTTCCTGGCAATATAACCAAAAGCAGGTGCTGCTAAGACATCCAAGGTTTCTTAGAAGGCAGTACAAGTTTGCTGTCTAGTTAGGCATGGTGTGGAACAAAGCATTAGTGTCATGAACTCACCCTGGTTAGTGCAGTTGGCGTGGGTCTCGTCGCTGTAGTCACCACAGTCGTTGTCTCCGTCGCAGGTCCAGTAGTCGGGTATACAGCGACCGCTGTTACATTTAAACTGAGCGCTGGAGCATGAATGACTACAGCCGGCTTCATCACTGTTGTCACCACAGTCATTGTCTGGAAGAGGTTAAATTGCCAAATATATGCTATCATCCTCCAAAATATAATGTATAAAATAAGCCGTGTTTTAAAGTGCACCGTCAGTCAAAGGTTTGAACACACTTGACTAAGGTTATGTTTCTCATGATCATAATAAACTTGTTGATACAAAGGCGTTTCCTTGAAATTAGTTTTGCAGACGTATGGTATCTCCAATATTGTTTAAAAGCATCCCAGAATGCACCTCACAAAGTTAAGAGAATTAACAGATTTTTTGGTAACACTTTATTTTGATGGTCGCTTTTGAACATTCTGTTGACAATAAGTAATGTTGCACCTACATGTCTACTAACTCTCATCAGAGTATTAGTAGACTGTTTGCTTAATATCTGCTAACTCTTTATTGTCATGATCTCCCAACAGACATTCTACTGACTATAAGTAACTTTGCAAGTACATGTCAACTTATTCTGGCCCTAACCCTACCAGTCTACTAATACTTTATTAATACTCTAATGATAGTTAGTAGACATGTAGGTGCAACATTACTTAAAGTCAACAGAATGTGTTAAAGGGACCATCAAAATAAAGTGAAACCGATTTTTTTTTAGATGGAATCTTTTTTTGGTCACTGCATAATTCCCATACTGAAATGTGTGTTGTTTCACAGTTTCAATTATCTTTAATATACATTTTTAAAGTAAATATACTTTACAACAGCAAAGATAAAGAAAAGGTGTGTCCAAACTTTTAACTAACTCTAAAAACTAAGTTATAGGCAACCTTTAATACTTTACTAATATAAAGGTATAGCAGCCATGCTGGGAAACATTTTTCTGAGATAAACTTGGCCGACATGGAACATGTCCATGTGAGCTATAGGCTATGATTTAATACAATAGATTTATAATACAAATATACAAACAAGTAAAATATAGGCTGAAATATGAATATTTCACAATATAGTAATACGACATAGTAAATGTGGCAACTTCTCTTTAGAAACACACTTCACAGTTAACAATTTGCAACAATAGAACATTTATAATAAACATCACAGAAACTGCATAGATCACACATGCACCACTGGGAATGAGCACTGGTTAATATTTAATGCTAATCACTTCTTATGAATGTTACTAGAGGTGTTAGTTTAACCATTGTGGAGCAGGATCTTTCCATAATGTAAAACATGTTTTAGAAATAATGAATTGCTGCACATAATTTACACCTGTCCACAGGCTTACATGAGTATGAAAATCCTGTTCAGGCCTTATTATAATGTTATAACACAAGTAAATTTATGGTGCATGTTGATCTATGCACTAACCGGCCAGGTTCGGACATTTGAACTCATCAGAGCTGTCCCCACAATCCTTTTCTGCAACACACAGCCCATGTGACAGAGGGGGAGGGGCAAATGGTCAAGAGAAGAGGACATGACGTTACACAAAAGACACATGAAATGATCAACAAAGACAAATGAGGGAAATCTGTTGAAAAGGTGCAACAGACACAAAAAACACAAGAGATGAAAACATGTCAGCAGCTCACCGTTATCACAGCGCCAGTTGATGTTGATACAGCGTCCGTTATTGCAGGTGAACTGAGTGAGCGGGAAACAGGTTGGGTATGCTGACGACACAAACATCATCATAAATAATCAATAAAATCAAATAATTAACCAAAACTCCTGATCCCATATAACCAAAAGCATAATAAAAAATAAGTATAATAATTAAATAATTAAATGCAACAAAGTATTTTAAGTGCAAGTTTTTGCCGGTTGCACGTAAATATGAGTATGATTTTTTTGACTTTATGCATATGCCTTTTTAAAAGGGTCATATCATCTTTTTTGATCATTTTCATCATCAGTATTAGTTGTACACAAAGAAATAGTAGTAGTAATATAATAGTTCTAGTAAATAAAACAAGTCATAATAGGATGTTTTGAGTGTAATCGACCAAAAATTTGCTTTCTTGTAAAATGAGCCATTAAATAGATAAATTGTAATCCTAAATGTCTAACATTTACAAATGCAAATGAATAAAAGGACTAAATTCATAAAATGTCAAACAATTCTTTCAAAGCTGGAACTGACAAAACTGGCACTGAACTAGTTTTTCTAAAAGTATCACAAGCATATTAATGGCCGAAATCATTCATTTTAATAAGCCGGCACCAACATAAAGGGACATCATTTACCGCAGGACGCAGGCTCATCGGAGCGGTCCCCGCAGTCATCATCCAGGTCACATGTCCAGGAGATGGGAATACAGCGGCCACTGGCACACGAGTACTGATTAGGAGGACATGTTCGAGCTGCAACAAAAAACCAAAGCTGATCGCATTCAAATCTGAATGTACATGTGTTATAGCCACCAGATTATCTGTATGCCAGTAAAGTATTTTTTTAAGTTTTAAAGCAGCAGATACACAAATGAAAAATGTATAGTCCTTCTCTTCCTAGAATTAGAATCCATTCCCCACTGTGTTTCTGTGGAAAGAGTTAATCTTCAATATACAGGTGCATCTCAATAAATTAGAATGTCGTGGAAAAGTTCCTTTATTTCAGTAATTCAATTCAAATTGTGAAACTCGTGTATTAAATAAATTCAGTGCACACAGACTGAAGTAGTTTAAGTCTTTGGTTCTTTTAATTGTGATGACCTTGGACCTTGGTTTCCAAATGAAATACAAAACTTGCTCTCATCTGAAAAGAGGATTTTGGACCACTGGGCAACAGTCCAGTTCTTCTTCTCCTTAGCCCATGTAAGACGCCTCTGACATTGTCTGTGGTTCAGGAGTGGCTTAACAAGAGGAATTCGACAACTGTAGCCAAATTCCTTGACACGTCTGTGTGTGGTGGCTCTTGATGCCTTGACCCCAGCCTCAGTCCATTCCTTGTGAAGTTCACTCAAATTCTTGAATCGATTTTGCTTGACAATCCTCATAAGGCTGCGGTTCTCTCGGTTGGTTGTGCATCTTTTTCTTCCACACTTTTTCCTTCCACTCAACTTTCTGTTAACATGCTTGGATACAGCACTCTGTGAACAGCCAGCTTCTTTGGCAATGAATGTTTGTGGCTTACCCTCCATGTGAAGGGTGTCAGTGATTGTCTTCTGGACAACTGTCAGATCAGCAGGCTTCCCCATGATTGTGTAG